TCTCTCTCCTGAAAGGTCAGGTCTATTAAAAAGATATATTTTAAAATGCAGAGATCATACTTGGAGCAAGAGGCATGTGAATAGCAAATTGGAATTAAAACTGGATATTGCAAATATACATATTTCCAATAGTGTTATATTCATGTCATATAGAGGCCTTACATACATTTAGATTATGATAGAAGGCATTAGATAAGAAAAGAAAAATACTTTCACAGGTTGGAATACTCCTTGGAGGGAATGAGGAGGCCACCAAGGCTGCTGCCGCTGGGATCCTACACATAGAGCAGAAATTAGCTGCCATCACGACACCAGATGAAGAGAGAAGAGATGATGATAAGATGTATCACCTTATGATGATAGAAGATCTCAATAAATTATCAAAAGCTGTATGAATTTACATGCTTACATGTCCAAATATGCTGAAAAGTTTAATGTAATATGAAATAGTTGTAGTATATAGATTTTAATCTATTATAATTTTATTAATTAAGTATATCTTTTTTTCCAGATTGACTGGGGAAAGTTTATAAACAAAGCATTTAGCAAAATTGAAAAGAAATTGGACAGTAAAGAACATATAGTAGTTTATGCCAAAGAATTCCTTTCAAATCTTACAGTGATAATTAAAAATATTACTGAGACGGAGCAAGGAAAAACGTGAGTGATATTTATGAGTCGTGTTCCATAAACTTAAGCATTATTTTTCTGTTTACTTCAAATTTTTGTTTAGAAAGACTGCTATTAAATGTTTTTCTTTAAATCATGTTTTGTTAATAAATCAGATGTAATATTCTATATTATGAAGTGCTAATGGATATTTGATAGATACAATGGAAAATAGTGTTGTTAATTACTCTTTCGTAATAAATTCTTTAGTTGGAAATGATAAGACCTGAGGGAGGGAGAGAGGAAGATAGGGAGTGAGGAAGAGGGGGAGGGAGGGAAGAGGGAGGGAGGGGGGAGGGAAGGGGGAGGGAGGGAGGGAGTGGACTTGTGCAGAACCCTTGAAGAATCCCAGTAACTGGCTTGAACAGACCACAGTTCACCTGTGTGAAATATTATGCAACTCCATTCCAGAGCATTACCAAGACAGTGAGAAAATATTCAGTTTCTACTTGTCCCATTACCAACTTTCTCTTCTCACCCATGCCAGGGAGGTAGAAGAGCATATGGGCATAGCCCCTTTATTTTTTTTTCTGTGTCTGTGTTTTCCAGTGTGGTGTGTTGGTGAGGTGGAACTTTTCATCTGTTTTTTGATGGTGAGTGTTACATTGTGAATATCTTCTATTGAGATCTTTCTTCTCCTTTTGGCAGCTTGTGTTTCCATATTCTTTTGCACTTTCCTTTTGTTCATTTTTTCCTTGTTGGATACATCTTCCTGTTGCAGGTTCTTTTGATTTTTCCCCTCCTATTTTATCTTGCTGGTGTTTCTTCTCTTTTCTCAAAGTGTTTATAGTGTCGAGGGAGGAGGAAAAGACATGTAGTGTGTTTTGAAGCCCTCCAGCTCCCATAGCTATGGGTTTGTTTGCTGTTTTATCACTGTCCTGTGTCCTCTCTCATTTGATATCTTAGAAGTGTGGGGGATGTGGCCAAAAGTGGGACAGGTTTGTTCTGTAGGTTTCTTTGCAGATGTAGGTGGGGAAGTGGATGCTGTTGCTTTTGCCTTATATCATCCTTGAACAGGACAGCATTCACCCTTTGTCACCTCCAGGGAGGGAGCCACATAGCAACACCTTGCTTATTGTTTAGCAGGTCTTCAGATTACCTGTTTTCTCTGGTTTCTGCTAGTTAATGGGACTAGCATATATGGCCTCTCTTTCTGTCCATTTATGCTGTGCAGTTGCTTATCATGTACAGTTACCAGCTTGTGTGCCTGGTATTCTGCCTGTTGTTCACCTGTGATCTGATGTTCTCTTGCCTTATTTCTCACTCTTGTCATTCCTTTATCCTTTTGTTAGCAAATGCGTTCGTTAATGTAAATGCTTTTATCAATTTAGTGTCAGCTTTTAGAGGTATGTCCTTTATGCCTTTGCTGTGATCTTTGGGATTTATCCCATTTTTTCTCTCGTATTCTCAGATGATATTCCTTCCCCTGGTTTGCACTGGGGGTGAATACAGGAAGCTCATGAAGTTGGAAGGATGCTTACTGCTTTTTAAAGCTCCTTTTGTAATGTCAGGTGTGTTCTTGGGGTGCCATCAGTTGGACATCATGCATGGGCAGAGGTTTGGATTTTTTGTCTCCCCAGGGGAGTATTGGCCTACATTTTGTTTTGTAACACCATGAAGGTGGTATCTTCCATGGGGTATTCCCTTACTGGATCCATGACAAGTTTGTGGTTGAACCACAGACACCAGCTTGCATGCAGAAATTTCCATGTACCTCTGCTTCCCTTCCTCACTCTGTGCTTACAGGCTGCTAGGCCCCATAGCAATCCCTTGGTTGCTCCACAAAGATGGACTAATACCGGAGGGCTTGTGGGGCTCTCTGTAGTCCATA